CTAAGAGTGCTTCCCTGCCGCCACGCGCTGCTGCCTTCAATAAAAAGGCAAACAGAGGCTGCTCCAGCAGCAGCCCCTGTCCACAAGGAGCTCAGACCCCCTGAGGTCAGGGGATGCTGCCGGAGCAGCCTCTGTCCGCGAGCCAGGGCCTGTCACCAGCAGAGGTTGCCTCTATGGGGAGTGGGGGCTGGTGGCACCATGGAGCTGGCGCTGGAGGAAACTTGCTGACCCCCGCCCCCCCGCGGCCCTTGCTGCCTCTGATACAGGCAGGCAGCTATTTGTATGGAGCCTGAGCCCCTGATTGGGTGGGGCTGATTAAGCAGCTGCCGGCTGTGCTGCCACACAGCTTAGAGGAAATCTTGACCTCCCCACCCCTGACTATGCCTGCTGGAACTGCAGAGGCCAGGGAGAGGCACTTCTCACCTGGTCCCAAGCTGCTGTGGTGAGAGAGGGCTGGGGTAGTCCTCTCTCCTCAGGGAAGCCTGCATACTGAACCCCTCAGCCACACCCCAGAGCAATGATTCAAATGAAGCATGTACACTTTCATTTAATTTTTCAAAATTTTTCAAAAAACCCAGAAATTAATTGAGTTAAGGACCAGAGAAATGTCGGGTAAATCTTCTAGTATAAAATCTTTTTAATAAAGCTTTTTTCAGGGAACTAAAATTTAGCTTACAGGGGAACTGAAGCAAGTCATACTGAATTGTATTTTTCTTTTTCTTGAATTATTTATTCTACTTGCTTAATTTTCTTTCTCTTATGATCAGACTTGCAATCTGCCATAAAAACTTTACTTGAAAAAGGACCAGGACTGCAAGATGCCAAAGAATCACAGTTCATTGCTTTCAGAAGGAAGGGAAAGCATGTATGCAGACTTTGCAGAACTCTTGCAAGCATCTTGAGATTGTTGGTAGACAAAAACTGGGGGAAAATTGGCCATTTATCGTCTCTCTCAGGCATAGATTTTTTTCCATGTAGAATGTTGATAGCTTAGTTTTCTATTACTTTCTTGCTACTGCTAATGTATGCGATTCCTTTTGTACTATTTACTTTGCTACAAACTATTCACAAGAGTATTGAATATACTGTTCATGTTCATCCTGGGGACCAGTAGCCCTCTGCTCAAGGTGCTTTGAGGACATCAAAATTTCACATGCCAGGGGTAGCAACTGAGTTTTAACAAGCTGTCTTTCAGACTTGAATTGGAATAGGGTCCTCATTCAGGTTCTGTCTCCTAGCTTGTAGTCTTAACCAGCTTTATAACCTGGCAAAGATGATTCTTAGTTTTCTCAGTTCCTTACCATTTATTTTTCTTTCTTTGCTATCTAGTTTCATGTTACTCTTTAAGATGATAATTAAGCTTGTAGAAAATGATTGTCTCAGCCTCATCCTTATCTCAGATTTTCAATTTTCCATATTACTTTACAAAGTATTTTCTTTCTGTAGTTTTAATTTTCCAGATGATTACTCACATATTCATTGTACCACACAGGTTAATTTATGCTTGGAATGCAGTTGCAGTGGGTCATAGCTTTATTTGTCTTTTCAGACAGGTCTGTTGCTCCTAAAGCTGGTTCATAGCCTGTGTATATGTCTTCCAATTGCAATTGCATTTTTTAATTGTATCTAGTATCTAAGTGACTGGTAACTTAAACACTTTTGAACTCCAAAACCTTTTTTATCTAGAGAAAATGAGACAGAATCAAAAGTAAAGAGAGGGGGTTCTATTTCTGGTTTTCTTATAATGGAGATTGCCTATCTCCTAGAACTGGAAGGGACATTGAAAGGTCATTGAGTCCAGTCCCCTGCCTTCTCAGCAGGAGCAAGTACCATACCTGATGAATTTTTGTCCCAAATTCCTAAATGGCCTCCGCAAGAATTGAACTCACAACCTTGGGTTTAGCAGGCCAATGCTCAAACCACTGAGCTATCCCTCCCCCTAATTTTGCTAATTTTACTTATATTTTATCTTTGTTGTGAACAGAGTGATTCTGAAGTCGGGTTTTTTTTAAATTTCTGCCTTGGAATAGAGCTTGCAAAATATTTACTATCAGACCTAAGTACTCCAAATTCTACCATTGAGCTCCATTTAACAAATCTTGTGGGAACATAATCTGCAATGATAGGTTTTTAAGAGTTCTTTGGATCTCAAAGTTTCTAGAAGAGAAACATTGAAATGCTGGATTCATTTTACTTCCAAAGAGTCCATGGACAGACAAGCAGCACTACCGCAGTATAATAATTCTTGTTTTGCTGTTCTGTTTTGGAGGCAACCCCAGTTGACCTAGTTATACTTTGCAAGTTGTTTCCCTTCTTTTGGAATTAAAATAAAACAGTTCCTTTTGTGGCAGCATCTTTTGAACTACCACTGAATTCAAACTTTTTAATGGTCAGTAGAAAATTGTCATTACTAAGAAACTGTTCTCTTTCAGTTTGAACACACTTGTTTCTAGATAAATGCACATAAGTTGTTTTACATGCCTCTTGTGTTGCTAAAGTTGTGCCTCTTGTTTTCATATTTGTAGGCAAGATTGTGATCTAATAAATGAGCTCTGCTGTCTGCACTATTCAAAACATTCAATCAGGTAAGACAGTGTTTTGAGAATATATAATGGCTACGTCTACACTGGCCCCTTTTCCGGAAGGGGCATGTAAATTTCACGAGTCGTCGTAGGGAAATCCGCGGTGGATTTAAATATCCCCCGCGGCATTTAAATAAAAATGTCCGCCGCTTTTTTCCGGCTTTTAAAAAAGCCGGAAAAGAGCGTCTAGACTGGCCCCGATCCTCCGCAAAAAGTGCTTTGAAGTAGGAATAAGACCCTCCGGAAAAGGGCACTTTTTCCGGAGGATCGGGGCCAGTCTAGACGCTCTTTTCCGGCTTTTTTAAAAGCCGGAAAAAAGCGGCGAACATTTTTATTTAAATGCCGTGGGGGATATTTAAATCCCCCGCGGATTTCCCTACGACGACTGCTGAAATTTACATGCCCCTTCCGGAAAAGGGGCCAGTGTAGACGTAGCCAATGTGTATACATTGCCTTTCCTCCCTCTTGTTTTGTTTTAAAAATTGTTTCCCATAAGGGACCAAAATTCTACATACACTAAATAAAAATATTTTAAACTTTTAAAATCGGTTTTATGGTTGTCCAATGCCTTGTTTGATGTGTCCCCTAATTGACTGCCTGAGCAGCCAGCAGAAATAAATATGGAGAGCCTGTGACTTCCCTTGAAGTTTCATAGAAAGCTATGGGTGTTGGCTTTTGAGCCTCTCTCTGATTAAAAGAGGTGTTAGTGTCCTCAACCTGAGATTTTTGTGAGCAGGTGCTGAGCATTGAAGTTGATTTGCAAACAATTATGTTAAAAAAATTGTTAGTGCTTTTTGTTTTTTTTTTTGTTTTTTTGCTGTGACAGGACTTGCCTATCAGACCGCACCTCTTTCTATAAACACAAGATCACTCTCTGCATTTCTCTGAGGCAACTCCTTTCCATTCCTTTCCCTATCAGCTGCTAAAATGATCAGTTTCAAAATAGTCATGACTTCAGCTTCAGTCCTTCCTTGAAGCGGGAGGAAGCAGGCGAGTTCTTTGCTCTTGGAGCCATTGCTACAGATGGTCCTTTCAAAGAGACAGGGAGACACACTGCATTTGTTTTTATTTGTAAGATTGTCTTCACTGTCATGAAGGCTAATAATTTTATTTTAAACAAAAGCTTAGTGTGCATATCTGAATCGGTTATATGAACCACCTAGATAAGTAGAGTTGCAAATAAATGTTTTATTTCAATTATTTCCTCTCTCCCCCAAGAAATCCTAAAAATCGCCTGTCGTTCCAATGTGATGACAAAATTTGTTCCACGAGGAATGCCTATCTCAAGGACCTTCTTCCAGAAAATAACACTGATTGCACAAGGAATAGTGACTCTTCGACTCCAGATCAATGTGTATGCAGGGGGTGTTGTAGAAGAAAAGCCTTTCTCAGTGGAGAAAAGCTACCCAGTGATTTTGGGGGCAGCGTTGAGGATGACAGACGACTCTGCAATGGAGAAATATTTTTCATAATAGATGTATGTATTCTTTTGAACGATTAATAACTGTCAGGATTTACCACAAAAGGGTGCAGGTCTTAATTGGGGTACATCTCCTCCTAGCTCTTAATAGACATTTGACATGACAAAATTCTCATGTGGTTCATCATTCTTGTCACAAGAAAGAACCAGAATTGTAATACACTTGAACCTCTGTAGTCTGGCAACCTTGGGAAATAGGCTATGGAATTTTCCGACCCATTGATGTTTGCTATAATGAAGGGTGCTGGGAATTGGGGTGTGGAATCTGGCAGGGAGGGTGCAGGAGTGCGCTGGAGGTGCAGGACCTGGGGGAGAGAGGAATGGGGGTTTAGAGCTTACCTGGTGCCAAGGCCCCAGGCACACACATGGCTCTGCATTGCGGGGGAAAAGCCTCCAGACCAGTGCTTTGCTGCATTGCTGTTCCCCCAGGTAGGAGGAAGGGTAAGCAGCAGTGCACAGATCTGCTCCCTCTTTCCCCACCAAACAGAGCCCTCCTGTCCATAGGCTGAATTGAGGCAACTGTCCCAGACTCAGCACTGTGTCAGGTGCCCCAACTGTCCTATGGAGGGAGGGACCTAGAGGTTATGGGGGCCTGGCACACAGGCAGCAGGGGTTGCTCCCCCCCTCTCCCCTCCGCACTCACCATGCAGGCCGTCACCTGCCTCCCACTGCTGCGGAGAAGCAGGACGCAGCTGGCTAGGAGATGGGGGGTGGAGGGGAGGCTTGGTACCACGGGTTGGAGCAAGGTGTCAGATCGCTCTGGTTCCCTCAGCCCGAATGGTGTTTGTGGGGGAGGTGACCCGTTGCTGCCAAAAATTCAGAAGTGGGGAGGAGCAAAGTTGCATTAGCGTTCCCGTTTTCACTTGCATGCTGAGGCCACCATTTCTTATGAGGAGGTTGGAAGGTGGTGCCATCCCAGAGGGGAGGAGGAAGTGGTAGGCTGGTTTTGTCCTGGGGCAAATACCAGCTGACGCTGCTGCTTCCTATCTAGTTGGTGCTGCCAACATGTCAGTTAGGAGCCTCAGCTTTGCCCTGCCCAGCGTGCCCCCCAGTTACCCTTGCAGGCTTGGGGTAGACACTGCTATGCTGGCTGGTGAGGAAATATAAAAAGTCTAGGAGGAGGCAGCTGAAGCAGATGAGGCTCCTGCAGGTAGGGTCAGCGGTGAGACCCCAGTTTGTCTGGAAACTAGTGAGCTAGAAAAGAGACATGTGTACATGTTCAGATTTCTACAACAACTTGGTCACAAAGTTTCCTCACGCTGGCTCTATAGGATGTGGAAGTTGACAGATGTCGTTTATTAACCATCAGCAGCACATATGGTTCCGAATACACTGTGAGGTATAAGGCGCTGAGGAGAGAGTGTCATATAAAGCATGCATGGGCCAGAACTATTCACACTTTTCAGGTAAGAATTGTAATAGTTATGTCAGCCAGTAAAATGACTGACTGCTGGGTTTCTCTGTAATTTCATGGGAAAGATTTGATTTCAGGAGCAAAATCCTTAAAGATGAACTTAGCAACAGCTTTGAGCTGTGAGTGAAGGAAGTAGTGTGGTACTGGCTCTTCACTCTCTTGCTGGAACTAGCTGAGTAGCTTTGTAGTACATCTGAAGGGAAGCACTAATTGATCCAATGGAAATTAATTTACTATACAGTTGTACTTAAAGTGACTCAAGTTGATTAGTCTAAATGAAATTCCACGATTGACATCCAGAATTGTGCATCATTAGATACTCTCTGGGCAAGTGGGATATGTGAATGCAATTGACTTATTTTGTTGTTGTGGATTTGGAAATTGAAACAAACTTCAGAGGCTATCGCCATTCCCATGAGAAACTAAAATTGTGAGCATTTAGGCAACAAATATGCTCTTTCATTTACATCTCGCCTTCTAGTCCAGGTTTGTCTACCTGCTGGTATGTACCTGAGTAAGGTAACTTATAAAAAATACAGCCCCAAATTCATGCCTATACTTCTGTAGCTAACTGATGGCTGTTGGCACTTCTCTAGTAAGCCTTGTTTCTCAATAATTATTTAAAATGCTTTGAATTTGAGTTCTTAAAAAAGCTGTTTTTTTTTTTTCCAGGGTTCAGAGGAAAAAACAGTTGTCTATGTAGTCGGGAATGCAGGCCGACAGCACTGGCAGCATGTTTACACAGCTGTGACTCGAGGCCGCTGTCGGGTCTATATTGTGGCTGAGCAGCCTCAACTCAGGAAGGCAGTTACTACGAAGAGCTTTCCCAGAAAAACTCGCTTACAACAACGTTTGAGAGAGGTCTTTGCATTCAGTGACTCTACTGAACAAATGTCCTCTCAACTACAGGATTGTTGGCAAAGTCAAGGACGTGCTCCTCAACCTGGTCCTATTTCAGTAGCTCAGGATATTCCCCTCTCTTCTTTAGCTGTTGAAGACGACTTCACTGAAGCAGAAGAACCTGCAATTCTTCAAAATGTACAAACTAACAATGAACAGTGCAGTACTGGTGAACTGGCCAGTGCAGGCGGTGAAACTCCCCTTAAATCAAGTGGATGTAAAAGACAAAGCAGTTTTACGGATAGTTTTGAAAGTCCTTCAAAAGTTACCATGGTAAGAAACTGTTTAAAGAGTATTTAAAATTAAACTTTTGCAAAGATCTGAGAATTTTTCAACTGCTAAAACAAAGTTCAGAAAATGCAGTTTTATCAAAACCAAAACGTTGTGGAATTATATCAATCTTTTGTTGGTAAAATGTTCTCAGGTCTTGTATGGCACAAATGAAAGAATGAAGCCTGTCATTCAGTCTCAGTAATTAATGGCTATTTTAAAACTACAGGTTGGACCTCCTCTGTTCCAACACCCTCAGGATAAGGGATTTTGCTGGATCAGGGGCAGTCATTTTTGGCCTCTCGGCTACTAGACCCCTCCAGCGCAGGCCTGACGGCTGCCCTCCCCGCTGGCTGGCCCTACTGCCCTTTCAGCTCCAGCCTTTGCTCCCCAGGATCCCGCTGCTGCGCCAGGCAGCTCCACCGCATGTGGACACTGGGCTCCTGCTCCAGATCCTGGCAGCCCTGCTGCCTCTGTGCACTGAGTTCCCGTTGTAGAGCCTGTCTCCTGTTGCCACTTTGAGCAGCCCTGCAGCTTGTGCAATGGGCTCCTGCTGCTGCATGTGGGGCTTTTGCAGCCCTGCCGGGAAGCCGTGCTGCCCTACCAGTCTGCAAGGCTCCTGGGCGCTAGCCCTCCAGTGAGACACTCTCTGGTCCTGGAATATCCGTGGTCCAGCATGATCACGGATATTCCAGGACCAGAGAGTCCTGGCTAAGAGAGTTTCAACCTATTACCTTAGAAGTAATATTTGATAAATTATGTTATTGAATGTTCTTTGATTTGCTCAAAGTTCATTAATAATTGATGGCTAAAATAACAAACTGTGTAGTGACTGATCTGTTGTGCAAAAGTACAATATTTATATGCAGATTTCTTATACACATTAAATTATACTAATGATAACGTTTACAAAGAGTCTCTCTTGGGGTTTGCCACTTGTATATTGTTATTCAAAAATCTCTAAACTACGTAAGTCATCAATGAAAATCTATTCTGAACATAATCCTTGTGTTGCATAGTAACATTTTATTATATTAAGTGCTATTTCAAGGCCTCATCACACTCCTCTTGTTTTGTTTGACAGGTAAATCCAGAAGATTCGCCCCTTGGGTCAGTCAGACTTCAGAATCTGACTTTGAAGTGCCCAACTCCCAAGCAGCTTTTTGGACCTTAACAATCACGTACATTAATATGACACTTAAATATGTAATACAACTCCAAATAAGGAACAGAGAAATAAAATATGCAGGGATTGGTCTTACTCCCTAAATATTTCGCAATATTTTAGGAGCATCATGTTTTTAATGTGAACTTTTTATATTCAGAATTTAACTCTTTTAGTAAAATATATGGTCTACTTTTTCTTGAAGATTTACGTGTCTATGTGCTTTTTATTACAGCCAAACAAATATATTTTTAAATAAACATTTTGAGGCCTTACAGATCTGTTCAGAAGGTAATTTCTTGGTCTATGGGTTTTTGAATACCATGTATATTGTTGATACAACACATGTAATATGGTTTGATTGTGGCAGACAGTTAACACCCATGTTAATAAATGCATTTTGACTAGACTTGCATATAGTGTGGATTTTTTTTCTTCTGTACCCGTAGCAATGGACTAACTTCATGGAAGTTTTGAGTGTCTCAAAATACAGATTATTGCCACCATACAGAGTCATGAAGTTGAATCAGATCTTGCTCAGAATAGATTTGTAACTCAGGCTATGTCTACACTGCGATTTTTTTCCGTCTTTTTTTTCGGAAGAGGCTTTTCTGACATTTGGCCTGTTTACACGGGGCCAAAAGTGGGGGGAAAAACCTCCTCTTTTGGAAGAGGAATACAGGGCTTCCGAAAGAATGCGCCTACTTTTCTAGAAACTGTTCCGAAAGAGTGAATGCATTCCCTGGACGCGGCAGAGTTTTTCCAGAGTTTACTGTGTAGTGTAGACATAGCCCCACTACTTTCAAAGAAAATGATTTTCCCTTTGCATTCTATGTGTGCAGAAAGAAAGTTTCAACTTCATGAACCTGCTCTTTACTGCAGTTAATGTGACAATTTATTTAACATTCAAAATGTGTCCAAATTTTGTAAGGCACTGTGAACAAAACATTTGATGGGAGTTCGGCACATGGGAGAGAAAAAATATAGGGCTTTTAAAGTGTGGGCAAGTGCCAGTTGTGAATTCCTGGATAATTACTTGACTTGATGCACTCGGAGATACCCAAATAGGAAAAATACGACAATTATTTAAACATTTGACTGACTAATACATAATGAAATTTGGATGGCTTATATTTGCCTAGCACAATGATGGCTGAAACTCCTAGGTTCTGGAATAATACTTTGCATATTTCAGTATAGATGATTTAAAATCCCAGTATTTAACTAAAGAGACTTGCATTTCTTGTCCTAGCTACACTTGTGGTAGAAATACTTGATATTAATTTTTATATAAAAAAGATGGTGAAATATCTGTAATAGTTTGTAAATATGCTATTTAACTGCTTTTTCTGCTGTCCAATATATGTAAATACCATCTCATTAAGAATATTGTCTTTAAATCACTGTTTATTCCATTTTATACAGTTTTTTCCATACAAATATTTGCAAGTTTGAGTTCCCAAAATCCATACATAGACGATAAATATCATGCTATTAAAGTATTAAATTTGTACAAAAATACTTTACAGTTTAATACTTATTTCTTACAAATAAAAATACATATTTACGTGAATCATGAACTTTTTGTTTTTACATTACTTTGAGTTAAATTTCATATTGACTGATCTTCTCTGGCAGTGCTGAAACATGAAGGAAACATTACGCTTCTGTGTGCAGGGCAGGTGAGTTTGTTCATATAAAGGAAAACAGCATGGGAGAAAGTTTTCTTAAACAATTTATATTGACCCAAAACAAATCTGGTTGTAAAGTTAATTGATCAGATATGAAGACTCTACAATTAATATACAAATTCAATATCTTTATATTCACCAAATAACAATAATTACCAAGGACAACTTGAATACTGGAACAAATCAAAGCAGCTGCTGGTGAGCATTAAAAGCAACTGGCAGTATTTTATTGCTTCAAGTGGGGGAAGGGGAAGGGGAAGGAAAGAATTTTTGCAATATATCTGTAAAATGTATTTACAATTCAAATGTCTAAAAACCTGTAAGGATAAATATGAGAGCTGAAAACAAAGCCTTTTTAAATGGACTTCATAAATCTTTAACAATCCTCAAGAAACTGTTGTTAGTAAATAAAAGTTTAGAGTTGTATGTCCTTGTATGAATCATTTTAATTTGAATAGATTTTACATTACAATGTATTCTGTTGCTGCTAGTAGTTGATATACTATAAAAACTTCCACTTGAATGATTTAAAAAAAGTCTTTTTAATTTGATTTTTAAATAACTCATTTCAGTTTTATTTAGTAATCCATTAGAAGTTTTCCACTACCTAAAACATCTCTGCTTAAAATGAATCTTACAGTTTCAAGACACATCCATCTAGTGCTTCCATTGCATAGGGAACAACGTAATTTCTAATAAAACTGTAGTACAGTTGGGCAGTAAATTTTACCACCATGCACTGCCGCTTCCTACTTGCATCTTTGCTAAAACACTTGAACAGCACTTAGTGTGATGGCTGTGCCCCTCCAACTGCATCACAACGGTTCACAAAACACTACAACAGTCAATGTAAAATCTTCTGGAGGCAGCATACCCCAATCTCATGATTCCCTCCCTCAGAAACCAGCTAGCTTAAAAATGTATTAAAAACTCCCAAATCCAGACACCTGTGGAAAAAGATATTCCAATGATGCTGTTAAGACAGTAAGGAGCAATTCAGTCTCTTTTAAAGGACCCCTCAGCTATTTCTTCAGGGGGGAAAAAATAAGGCCATTAGCCATTTTCTTTACTCAGTATTATTGTGAATTCTATGACATTAGGCTTAGTTTGGAATGGCACTATTCAATGGCCACCACAAAACCAAACTGTTTTTAAAGTAATCATGAAGTAACAGAGCCTTGAGAGGGATAGTCAAACCCTCTGTGCTTTATAATGCCACATGACATCTGTGCCACAAGTATCACACAAATCTTAAAAGGGATTTTAGCACCATATATTGTCTAAGTGTCCCACTAAAATAACTTGTTGCTATATTGTGTTTGTAGGGTCTCGTGTTGTCACACTAGTTGTATGTCCAGTGTGTTGAAGGAAGGCGTTACTTTGGTCATTCCATTCCCCACCTGTTAAAGTCTGTTGATCTGATGTCACCTTCTGAGAAGCTAGTGGGTTTCTGCTAATAACCAGTTCCAGTTTATTGCCAGATTCTGCTATGAGAGGCACAACTAGACAACAGTCAAAATCTCTGGTACGAACATGATTTACCTGAAAGGTAAAAATGTTGGTTTAGATGTATCAAAGAAAGCAATGCAACAAATACCTAAGAAACACGTTATCTAAAATATGACTGGAATATGTTAGTGGCCTCCAAGATAAAGTACACAGAATACAGAAAATGCAACATGGCTTAAGGAGAACAGAAATAACTTTTTTCTAATCAGTGTTTACTATATTGTAGTTAAAGATTATTAAATACATTTATTTAGTAAACTTATTTCAAGTAAGAAATAAGTCACACAAAAGTAACTACTACTTCTAATATTTAATTCCCCTTAAGGTATTCTCAGAAGTGTGTCTGAATACATGAAAAACCCTTCTCTTTTGCCACTTTCACTATACAGGCAGTCCCCGAGTTACACGGATCCGACTTATATCGGATCCGCAGTTACGAACGGGGCTTTTCTCGCCCCGGAGGACGGGAGCGGCGGGACGCCCAGATGCGCCGCGGTCTGCCGCCCCCATCCTCCGGGGCGAGAAAAGCTGGTCCCCATCTCCCTGGTCTGCAGGGAGACGGGGAGCAAAGCCTTGGAGCACGCCCGCAGTGGGACAGCTGCGGTGCGCCTGGACTGTCCCGCTGCCCGCGTGCTCTGTGGCTTTGCTCCACGTCTCCCAGGTCAGCAGACCAGGGAGACGGAGCAAAGCCGTGGAGGACTTGGGCGGTCCCGCCACCCCTGTCTCCCTTGTCTGCTGGGAGGGGGGGTGCAGCTAGTGCCCCCCCCCCCAGCAGACCAGGCTTTTCTTGCCTACCCCTGGGGTAGAGCAGCTGGGGGC